CATTAATGGTAAAAATAAATGGACACATACAAAAAATAAAATTGGACTCATACGCATCACTTGGTATTAATAATATAAGAAGTTGAATAGATTCCATGTAAACTTCAGCAGCTTTTGACAATAATCTTAGTTTTATCTGAATTGAGCTTTTGTGGTGCACTGACTTTGACTTTTAAACTTAAACATAATTTGTACCTTGGAATTTGGATTTCACCATAAAATTAAAGTAAATCATATATGTACTTTTAAAACAAATTTTTATCAGCTAATAGGAAAAGAATTGGCTAGATCTAATCTAGAAACATCTGATTTGGCAACAGATATGATGAAAAAAATAAAGAAATAAACAGAATTGCATGAAGGTGACAGAAAAAGAAAGTTTTAAGCTTAAAAAAAAGAAATAGAAGAAAATGCACAGATCCATTGCATTCATATTGGGTAGGATGAATGAAAATATCTACCAAGCCAGTAAAGACCACTATATATATCTATCTCAGAGTTTGTTTTTATATGTCTGCTTGTGTTTGTGTGTTTGTGCATGTTCATGTTTGTGTGTTTGTGCCTCTCTGTGTATGTGTGTGTGTGTGCGTATGTGTGTAAGAGAGAGAGAAAGAGAGAGAAATAAAGAAAGAAATATGTGTCATTTGGAATTTACTTGACAATCTCAACCATCCAGTAACAGTAGGAGAAGGTGAAGAGCATACCACTTCAGGTCAGATCCTTATATTTATGCTGTTCATTGGATGATCATACCCATTCCTTTTTCTGACTTGGCAGTATCCTTCTACTTACATAAACTTTCACCTTCTCATGTCCTATTTGTCAAAAAGAAAAACTAAGTAAAATGTCACTAATCTTTTCATATAACTCCTTAAATGATTTGGAGTCAGCTGAAGTGTGAGAAAATGCATCAACTTCTACCCAAGCTAAGGAATTGACTTGAATTTCCATTGTCTCTTCTTTAGACACACACTTTATCCACCTACTTATACATCTTTATCCTTATTCATGTTCATATTTCTTTTAATCGGCATCACCCCTGCAAGGCAGTAAAGCCACTAAGACACAAGGGGTTACAGGGTGTAGAAGAATTAGTGAACAGAAACATTAATAATGTGTGGAAAGAGAAAAGAGTAATCAGGACGACAGTAGATAGCAATTGACGTTGCATTTAAATTTTTGCAGATAGAAAACATGGAGCCAGAAGGGAGTTCTACAAATGAGAAGTGCGAGAAAAGAAGTGCTAGCATAGAACTTATGGTTTCATCTAGCCAGCTCAATTCTAAATTGATAAAATCTTAATGCCAGTCTAGTACTGTGCTTAAATTCAGTGACTAGTAAAGAGCTCATCCGAATAATTACTATAAAAGTATTCATAGAAAATGGCACAGACAGGCAACCCTACGGCAATGGGAAAGTGAAGGAAACACTCACCATCAGTAAGCAATCTTGTTCACTTCAATGCCATGCTAGTAAAACATTGGTAGCGATTTGAGATAATACATCCCTATGTCATGGCTGAAATTTACAATGACAAAAACTTTCAACTCAAATCTGAATATCGTTATCAAAACTGCAACAATTACCCAGAGTACCAGCTGATGCCTCTAAATATCAAATGTTCATGGATTTTACAATTGATGTGGAGAAGAGAAGGTCAATGCAATTTCAAATTGGGCAGATATACAAGTAGGGATTTGGTCTTTAGAAATATTTCTAAATCAGAATCTATTTAATACCATTCTTGTTGCAGTTTGCAGTGAACAGCTGATATTGATTATGGTGAGGTGAAGAAATTGTAAATGCTGGCAATATGGCTTACAAGATCATATAGCTGGTCATTGTGAGTCCTCCATAAGAAAGACCACTTATATTCAAACCTATTTAAAAATATTGGCAACATCAGAAAACAATTTAAACCAATATCTCTCTATATTTCTGGGATGAGGTTTTGTAATTATTTACACTATTTACATTGTTCAGACTGCTGTCCTCATCTTTGTTGTTATATTCACAACATTTCAGCCATTGTTCACTCCGGCCTTCTTCATGTGATTGGAATTTCAAACCAAACCCTTATTTCTTCCATCAAGGTAGATTGTTCTAATTCCACATGTCATGCCTCTTTCATATATCTCAGTTTCAGTTATTTCCCTTTAACTCAACTCTCTATTTTTTTGTTCACCTCTGCTGTGGCCAGGTATTGAACTCATAACTCTTTGGCTCAAGTCACTAGATTGCCAAAGCTTTTATCCACTCCTTCAAGATGCATAGCCCAGTGGGCAAAAATAAAAGGTTTGGTGGACAAATTAAAGGGTTTGGTTCAAAATTCCAATCACCTGAAGAAGGCAGGATTGTACAATGGCTGAAACATTGTGAATATGATAACAAAGATGAAGACAACAGTCCGAACAATGTAAATACTGTAAATAATTTAAACCAACTTCACTGAAATTCTTGGGAATGTGGATACTTGGTTGTGTTATCCTGGTACAAAAAGATTGGAAAAACCGAAGGTAGTTATGACAACTTCAAACCAATACTGAAAGTTCACTGACAAAATGAACACTGTCAAACAAAAAAAAAAAATGAATCTTTTTTATGTGACATGTTCATCAAAATGTTGGTGATTATGGCTTTCCATAGCTTCTTCTTTGTAGCTTATAGTAATGTTTGTTTCTTTACTATCATTTCTACTCCCTGTTTTGCCATCCATTTACACAGATTTGTTAGGTAAGCTGCTCACTGCTTCCCTCTATCTCTCTTGCTTTCAATATGTTATGTGAATGTCAAATTCTTCAAACTTTCTTTCCTCATCACATAATGAAATTTCAAGTATCTCTTTCTGATTCTAAGTATAAGCATCCTTTTTGTTTCTATTTTCTTTAAAATCTTGTTTTTCATATGCCCCATCTATGGTATTCTCAGCATTCTTCTATAGAACCACATCTATGTCGCCTCAAGTCTATTCTTCCTCTATGAGAAAATTGCCCCAAAGCAAAAATGTAAATTGATTTCATAGTCAAAAAGTGAAAAATACAAAACCGAGTATTGTTCCATTTTTGCTCTGACACATGCTGTGTCTTGGCTTCAAGTCAGTGATAACGAAAACAGAAGTAAAAAAAAATACCAAGAAATACATCAGTATTTAAAAAAAAAATGTCCAGATTAGCATTCCCAATCTCTCCAACCAGTGAGGAAAATAAACAGTTCTCATAAAATAAGACTAGAAAAACAAAGATATTTTTCTCTTTATAGACGGCAACCAGACATTGGCACACAACCACGGCATATGAAAGGAGCTGGTCAGACTTTCATTTTCATAGTAACCCTATGATCACACCCAGTCATGGAACTGATGATGATGATGATGATGATGATGATGATGATGAGTGGACAACCTCAGATCTCTCTTCAGTTTTATAGATGGGAGTCAAGGATAAAAGCAGATACAATTTTTATAAATACACCCAAACCAAGAAAATGGTAGCTGTAATAATGTAATCAAAACATGATGACTATGGAGTATGGTTCATGGTGAGAGTCATACAAAATGAATACATTTACAAAAATAGCAAACTTAAATAACATGGAACTAATGGAAGGTAGACACCATAAGAAGTAACATTTTATTTTAGTCAAATATTCAATTTTCAACAATATTTTTTTTCTCTCAGATATACATGTTAGTCATAGTGTGTAATCAAACTGTCATCCTTGATTTCAATGCATCGTCAGAATATTAGAGGATGTGCACTAGTATTAAAGGGTATCTTGATTTTCTGAAATTGTTCAACTGATGGTACCATGTTGACTGGTCTCAGGTCAATTATCCCAAAATGAAAATATAGACTCAATCTATTACTGGCTGCTCTTGACAGGTAGAATTGCTAATTGGACAGAGCCCTAAATTAGTATGAGAGTGTGCTGAAAACTTCTCAGTCTGACACAAATCGAAAAATCAATATTTCAATGACCAGATTCAATGACTAATTTTAGGAAGTTAGGCCAATAAATTCTTAGTACTTTTTTGTAGAGTGTCAGTAGATGTGTACATTATATCAGATTTTATTATGTCAGTTCTTTCATTTTAAAATTGCTATTAATAGCAGCAGTTTTGTTGATTCCTAGACATCTCCCTTGCTTCAATATTGTTTTCCATTCTTTATATGCCTCTCTTTTAATGATGTATCACAAGTTCTCTTTGGATTAATATGAAAGCCACCCTATTGTCTTTGAAACCTCTTTGCAAGGTTGGCAATCATGAACTATACAAGAATCTACTCTTTAGCTTAAAGCTTCTTGGTTGTACCACTCAAAAATATCTTCTCCAAGAATTTGTAAAAATTCTCTATATTTATTTAATCACTAACATCAATTTTGAAGTGAGATATAACTTTACTGCTGACAAAATTAGCCGAAAACATTATTTAACATCCAACCACTTTCTATTTCTGTGAAGGAGTCAATCACTAAACCAGTCACCAGGTCCATCCAATATGGCTGTATATTCATCACTAAAAATTACTGCTTGTAAAACATTGTTCATATACTTTATAATCCAGTTTGCATATTTTTGTAATGTTTACTTAAAGGTGGACATTTGGCTTCTTTCATGCCTTTAAACAAATTTTTCTTGTTCTTATCTTGTCATTGTTTTTAATTTTTTTTATTCATCCATGATGTTTGTTTAACTATTTTTTGTAATTTCCAATGTTTTTATTGATTAATTGATCCATTTTCTATGGCTTATAAACCCTGTGCAGGGTATTTAAAGCCAAAAATTATTTTTAGATTGTGAGAATTTGGTGGTGGAGGTAATAATGATTTAGCGATACAAATCTTACTAATTAACCCATAGCTGGGAGAGAATTGTATTCATACCTTTACTAAGGGTATTTGCTCATAAGAGAATATAATGAACCCAGTTGGAATTGGAACTTGGCCCTCTGATTAACAAATTCCAAGCCATTATCCATTACACCATTCATACATCCAAGCTTACAACACCTGGTATTCCCAAGTAGTCACCTATTTAGGTACTGACCAAGCTCAACATTGCTTAACTTCAATGATCATACGGGATCCTTCCAAAGTTTGGTCCACATTATATAACAACTTTGTTTCTCTTTTGGGCTTATATCTTTTTCCTGCTTCTTGAAAATCTTCAGTTAAAATAAAAATAATAAAAATATACTATTATCTATTTTATTATCTTACTTATTTTACTTACAATATTTTATTTCTAAGTTGCATAATAAAATCTGCAAATAAGTTATTGTAAATATTTCTAAGAAAGATATTACAAAATGAAATTTCCATCTTATATTTATGATAAAAATATGACTAAATTTTGAAAGTTTTTCCCAACTTCAGTTGCTTAATATCAATTCTATTGTGAAAACATTGATTTGCATAAAAAAAATCTGATATAGTGTCATAATCATGTCTAGTAATCAGATCAAGAACATTTGTTAGAATAAAATCCATTCCATATTTTTGACACCAGCAGTGATTATATGAGCTGCCAAATTCTGAAATTTTAATTAAAAATCCTTATTTTGCACGTAATATAAGAGTCATTTAATGTGTACATTGCATGTAGTGCAAAGCAGAACAGGTTATTAAAATGTTTATCTTCATGAGAGACATATTGTCATTTGTTACTTGCCAGTTGATAGGAATTCATGTTGGAGTTATGCATTAACAAAAAAGAAAAGTGAATTGTTCAGTAAATAGCTTCTACATTCCTAACATAAAGTTTTTAATTAAAAATCAAATTATTAAATTTGATTTTAAATTTCTTGCTGAAGCTCTGAACCAATCAACTTATCAGCTGACAAACTCATAAAGATGTCAGTTATTGGCCAGAGAACAAAAAGAAATGGAGGATATTTTATTTCAATAATTAACATTTGTTCCTTTATTATTATTATTATTATTATTATCATCATCATCATTCGATTTCTGCTATGGACACACTACCTACCAAGTCTGCGGAAAGACCTAAGGCAGGTCGTGGTGTGTTGTTATGGCCACATTTCATGTTAATTTTTTTTTTTTTTTTTTTTTTATCTCCGATGAAGTTGCTAGCGTTACATAGACAAAGTTCTCCTTAGTGTGTGTGCTGTACTTAATAAGACAATTTTCTGTATGTCTCTTAAGCTGGGGTTTCAGGGATTCTTTCAATGTGTTGTTTTGTTCCATTTTTTATAATTCCAAGTGCACCTATTACCACTGGTATTATTATTCTTTTTCAATTTCCACATTTTTTTCTATTTCAATTTCCAGGTCTTTGTATTTTGATAGTTTTTCAAATTCCTTGGTTGCTATGTTACAATCCGCTGGACAAGCCATATCAATTAGTAGGCAAGTTTTTTCTTTCTGGTTTTTGACAATAATGTCCGGCCTATTTGCTTCAATTTTTCTGTCTGTGTGGATGGTATAATCCCATAGAATGGTGACATCTTCTATTTCTGTAACCGGCGCTGGCCGATGTTCATACCAGTGTTTGCTTACACATTTTCCAAAGTGTTTGCACATTGTCCAGTGTAAGTATTGCCCCACTCTATCGTGACGATTTTTATATTCATTTGGGGCAAGTATAGAACATCCTGAGATTAGATGGTCTATTGTTTCTTGGTATTTGTCACAGAACCTGCATTTTGGATCCACATTATTATGTATGATATTTGCCTGAAAATTCCTAGTGAAAAGACTCTGGTCTTGCGTTGCAAGAATAAAGCCTTCAGTTTCAGACTTTAATCCAGATGCTCGTAACCATCGATGAGTATTAACTTTATCAACATTGGGTTTATTTGCACGTTCTGGATATTGGCCATGCAGAGGTTTGTCTTGCCAGCGTTGTTTCATCTGTTCAAGGGCTTTATCCTTGGCTTTCTTTTTCATATCTTTTGCTGCAATAGTTGGTTCTTGGCTTCTGTTTTGATTTACTACAGAATCTACTAAATGTAAATGTTGTTTGTATTTACTGCCTTCTTTTATTATTGAATATTTTTCTTTCTGTTTTCATGTTGTTTCACTAATTTTATCATCCAGTCATTTGTTGTTTCCATGTAAGTTAGTAAGCCAATAGTTGTTGTCTTGTATGACAATTCTAGCTGAATAAGACCTCTTCCACCTTCTTTTACGGGGTATGTATAGACGGTCTACATCAGCCTTTGGATGATGCATCTTATACTTAGAAAGAAGCTTTCTTGTTTTAGAATCCATTTGTCTGATGTCATTTAGAGTCCAGTTCAAGATGTTGAAACTATATTGGACCACTGGGATGGCTAGGTTATTAATGGCCATAATTCTGTTCTGAGAATTCAATTCAGTTTTTAATACCAGTCGTACCCTTCTATAGTACTCTTTACGCACTATTTTCTTTCATTTTCTTATGGTGAATTCCTTCACTCTCATTTACACCTAGGTACTTATAAGCTTCTCCTTGTTCTAAATCTTTTATTGTTACAGCAGGGTCTAAAGTAATAGAGGAAGTTTGTTGTAGCGATCCTCGTAAAACTGTAGCTTTAGCACATTTATCCAAATTGAATTTCATTCCGATGTCTTCACTGAAGCATTTTACAGTTTGCAGAAGACCTTCCAGCTCATTGTCATTCCTAGCATACAATTTTAAGTCATCCATGTAAAATAGATGGTTTATTTTCTTTTGAGCTATTTTGTAACCGCATTCTGTCTTGTTAAGTTGGCTGGTTAATGCTATAAGTGATATGCAAAATAATAAAGGAGACAAAGAGTCACCTTGAAATATTCCTCTATTGATGTTTATTTCTGCCAGACTTATAGGTTCCATTTTTATGATTGAGGTAAAGTGTAGTTTTCCATATCGACATACATTGTTTGATGAAATTGATGATAACGGGTGATACCTTGTACATACTTAAAGACTTTAAGATCCAGGAATGTGGTACACTATCGAATGCTTTACGATAATCTATCCAGGCAATACTAAGATTTTTTTTTTTCACGGAAGCAGTTTTCCAGGATCATCCTATTAATAAGTAATTGGTCTTTACATCCGTAGCAGCCTCGTTTGCACCCTTTTTGTTCAAGTGGTAGTATGTCATTTCTTTCCAAGAAGAAATATGTCTGTTTTGTTAAAATAGATGTTAACAGTTTGTATGTTGTTGGAAGACATGTAATTGGTCTATAGTTTTTCGGAATATTTGTGTCACTATTTTTTGGGTAGAAGAAAGGTAACTCCTTTGGTCATCCATGCAGGAATTTTAGTTGGATCGGTAACCATTTCTTGAAGTTCTTTATGAGTTTTTTGTGTGCTGTATTTAAATAATATAGCCAGAAGTTAGGAATTTTATCTATTCCTGGAGATTTCCAGTTGTGTGTTTTTTTTCAGTGCACATTTAACATCTTCTTCTGTGATTCCCGCCCATGTCTGTTCTGGTTTATTTTTTCATTCGTTCTAACTCTTGCGCAATCCAATCTGCCTCTTCGTTGTGTTCTTTAGGGCAAGCCCATATTTTTTCCCCAGAACTGTATAACTTCTTCCATTTTAGGGGGACTGTCACTTCAATTCTTTGTTTACCTATTTCCCTGTAAAATTTCTTTGCATCGGTTTGAAAGATCTTGTTCTGTCTATAGAATCTTGATCTTTTCTCGTAGCGTCTTATTCTTTGAGCCTTCAGTTGTATTGTTTGCTTTATTTTTCTTTAGTTGATAGGACTTCATTTTCATTCCTGATATTGTATTTTCTTTCGACTCTTCTGCCTTTTCTAGTTCTTACATTTACTCCTCTTGCTAGTTCATCGAGTACTGATAATTCACTTCTAAGGTGTTCAATTTCTTTTTCTATTTTTCTTTTCAAGGTGGATCTTCATGTCTGTGAGACTGCCTTTTTTTTTTACTTTGATGTTCAGTTTATTTGTTGCTGCTATTGCTGATGCATATATTGCTTCATTGAGATTTATATGAGTGTCTTCTTCATCCAGAATCAATTTGAGTGCTGCATTATAGAGCTTAATAGTTTTGAGGTTATGCTTTGTTGGTTGTAATTTTGGGAGTTGTTCTCGTTCCTCCATTGCAATATTCTGTATCTGACTTATATGGCTCATGATTTCATCCTTGGCTTCTTGTATATTAATCTTGTTTTCTGTGAAATAATTCTGTTCGATGAATTTTGAACTCGTTTTATTACCGTCTTGTGACTGACTAAGATCATACCTTTCCAACATTTCTAAATTTTCAGCATTATCTTCACAGTGATTTGTGTGTATTTCGGTTTTTTCATTATGACCTGAGGCTTGTGTGATGTTACTATTTTTTTTTTTCCCGATTCGGTTCCTTTTCATGTTTTGTTGGTTCATCTATTCTTGTTGCAATTCTTTTTATTTCATTAATTTCAGCCTCTGTCAATCGGTTATTTCGCATGATGTCCCTTCTTACATTGGCTAGTTTATTTTGTCTATGTACTTTCTAATTGTTTGCCCAACCTTCTCTCGCCAAATGTCATATGTTTGGCGAGTGATGTTTTTCTGAGGTTTGAGTAACGCTTCATGGAATGCAGTCATAACAACTTTGTACTCCTCACGAGACCATTTTATTTTTTCTTTCCTTAAATTTACGGTTATGGATCTAGCTGGAGAATTTACAGGACCATCATTAGGATTATCCTGGTTGTGGGGACCTGAAGATTCATTCTTTGTGTAGGAGTTTGTTCCTATGGCAGATTTTTTTCGACCTCAGGTAGGTTCCCTCCTGAAGGACGGGCTCCCTGTTTATCCACTGGAAGAGCCATACTGGACGTTTTGTTTCTATTTTTAATTTTCATATTAATCCCACGAGTGACGCACGGGTCCAAAAGTCCACCCAAAGTTGCCCGGCACGTTGAGTAACGGTCTTTTTTACAGACAGGGTTCCGAAGCCTGTAGGGGATCGTTCGCGACCTCATAACGCAGTAGCCATTCCTCCTCGGCACGATTAACACCTTGAGTTGCGGGTTGTTGTTCGGAGTTTTCCTTCTCCTAAATGGGTTGCCAAGCAACAATAGACAGAGACACGATTGGAAATCAAAGAGAATGACGCTGGTTAAAAAAAAAAAAAAAAAA